GTTTTTTGTTGGGTCCAACTTGAAAAGAAAGTTGCAGCCCAGGGCTATGTACTTGTAAATAGGGTTGAGGATGTTCCAAGCAATAACATTGGGTCTTTTTGTCCATTAACAATGGGAAACACTTTTTTCTTATCCATTTCTCTGCCTTGGCATATTTTCGTTCTTTGTCACATGCATAATGGTACTAGGTGTTGAATAGGGCCAAGGTAACACTGAGCAATTTCTAATTGTTTTGCTATGCATATTTTGACTTGCCTTAGGGTCAAAATGAATGTGTGTGCCTCCTCTGTTTTCTAGTGATGCTCCATTGCGGGAGAGAGAAATTTGAATGTTTTTCTAAATTGACTGTCCTTTTCAAAAATAGCTGTCTTTATTAGTAGAGCAATAATCATTATTAATCAAGATGATACCATTGGCAGAGGCAGCTAAATTTGGCATTTGAAATCCCAGAACAGGACTGAGAATGTAAAATATTGTGAATGAAGGAGATGTATGTCCTCATCTATAATTTTCTTTTCTTAGTGAGATTTCTGCAGGGAGTGCAAAATCATCGACTGATAATTAGTCTCTGAAAGTAATTTTTTTTTCAGCATGTGATTTCACTTTAGATCATTTTAATATTGAGTAAAGATGTACAGCACGAGAAGAGAGTACAAATTCCTAAAATAGTGTAAGCTGGTTGTGTGGCCAAAATTTAATGTTCTGAAAACAGCTGTAATAATCCTAAAAAAAACATTGTGAATCATTAGAAAGAATAAAATGTAGAAACATTTTGTTTCTACTAGACCTTGTGTTTAGGAATATTTCACACATTGAGGCTACCTCAACACAAAATAATTTATGACAAATTAGAGGGTTTGCAACATCAGTGTTGTTTTATTTTGGTAAAAGTTGTTGCTAATTGATTAGTGCTCCCTGCTCCACTCTTTCCATTTTTTTCTGTCATCACCCATCCCTGTTGGAGGCAAAAAACACTCAAGCATGAATGTCCCATAAATTTGAATGGTCTTCCATTGGTTTCGTCACTTTTTCCATTCAATGCACTATCCCACACACCTGCTTTTCCTTCTAGCCTGGTTTCCAGATTATTTTTGTAATCAGATCAGACATATAGGAGCAAATGAAAAAACTGGACAAAAATTGTAGAACTTAGTGAATAGAGATCTAGGCAGAGGCCCTTCCCAAACCTACCAACAGCTATATTTTGTGTACATGAATTCACTCTTGCTTCTCCAAAACACAGAGTCCTTCAGCACACCTTAGGCTGACCTGAAGGGCAATACTGCTTTGCTTGACAGACGACATTTTGCTGTAAATAGAAGAGACTTTTCTTATATTCTTACTAGAGAGCTGGATGGTACTTTTAATTTACTTTCAGTGTTTTGGTACTTTGCATTGCAGGGTTATTTCTTACCTTTTCCAGTTTCCCTTTCAGGGACAAATCATGCTGTCATGCTGCTTACAGTCATGCTGCTGCTTCCCTTCTTGGTCTGAAAGGTCAGCAGTGGCTGCCCTTGAGGAAGCCCTAATTGAGTCTTTCCTCACTTGGTGAGGAATCTTATCCCTAATCCCATCTCTATCTCACTCTCATCTCTAATGAAAAGCAAGTCATCATAATTTGATAGAGGATTTTCATATGCTCCCTTCAGCTCTTGTAGTCAACCTAACTTGTATAAAAGTCATTATTTTTGTAGCCTCCCTTAATACATCTGATATCTGCACTTTTCAGTGCTGTCAGGTGCTGCATCCTACAGCTCTCCAATGCTGCCTTCACATTAATGATTCTTATTACTTCCCTGGATTGCATGTTATTTGCCATGCACTGCAGACATTTATCTGTGAGCTTTTTATTCATGTATTGCAATTGTGTTTGCAGGCCATAGGAGAACTATTCAGTTAGCACTGTTCTTTGGAAAAGTCTGTCAGTGTAATTTTTGTTTGCTTGTTTGTCTGGTTGTTTGATTTTCTAGGAAACAGAAGTCTAAACCCAGTCTCTCCTTAAGAGTTTTGGAATTTATTAATGCATTTCAGCAAAATGGTGAAGATTTTTTTAATGCGTTCAATGCACGAGAAGCTCCAGAGAACAGTTAGTCCTTATCAGACATTGTAAATTTCTCATCCAGAGCAATACTTATGAAATTCCAGCATCACTTTTGCCATCTTAAGCATCAGAAAATTTAACCATCAGTCCAAATTCCTGTCTTGTATGGGTTCTCTATTACCTGAGAGCTGGTCATCTGCTTTTATAACCTCAGTTTATTTCTCTCAACACAGTAAATCAACCTTAGGACACAAGTAGCAGTCAAAGAGCTTCATAAGATCCACTATGGACAAAATACTTGTTTTGGATTGTAACCCAAAATTTGGGTTACCCAAATACAAACTGCTGCAGAAATATAAGTATATGTAATTAAATCAACATAAAATTTAGAGTGAACAACCATTTTTTAATGATCTGAGATACTTTGGTTAATTGGAAATGGCTATATGTGTAAAGTGTCAACAAATATTGAAGTCCATAATATTCTTTGCAATGTTCTTGGTGTACATTGCTACAAATGTAGAGGAGAGCTTAAGTCCTGCCTTTGACTCAGATTTCTGGCAGTAGGACTGTTGTGGGTAGCCTGCAGCCCAGATCACTCTCACTCACAGGTTCTTAATAATAGTTGATTAGGTATATTACAAAATGAATTATTTAATTAACACAAATTTAACAGACATAAGACTTCAACAGATTACATACTACAGAGGATAAATGAAAGAAACACTACTACCAGATAATATGTAGTGCACAACTGAGGTACCTAATATTACAGCTAGTAAAGATATAGCATAGATTAGGATTCCATGTAGTTTACCATCCGATTGCTGATGGGGAACACATAGGATCCTTCCTCTTAATTCCGTAGAATATAACTGCAGAACTTACATCTGAACTCATGGGAGAAGTTATGCACATTTCAAGGGTGTGTGTAAGACACTTGTACCTCCATGAAAATTTGTATAGCTTTTATAATTATTAAAGTAATGTGTCTCACAGTCGGGAATTCCTAGCTTATCTCCCTACATCTTGCGTCAAGGCGAGATATTTATTGTCAGATGGGGATCTCTCCTCCCTGGTGCCAGAGATAACTTACAGCTCAACATCTGTCCAGCCTGGGTTATGTCACCAGTTCTTGCAGGGGCAGAATGTCTGGAGCTATGCACCAGCTGATGAACATAGCAGATAAGCTCTTCAGTGGCAGGAGAGAATGTTCTGCTGTATATATATAAAAGAAGAGTAGGAAATAGAGTTAGTTAATAGTCCTTAGTCTCAAGACAATTTAACCACTACAAACTCATGACAGAACTTTATTCTAAAGTTTGCCATGGCAGTTCTGCAAAATTTAACTTATTACTTCTTTCAATGTGTCTTCCAGAAGAAACTGTTAAGATAAAAAACCCTTTGCATAAACATTGAGTATTATTTAATGGCTTTATCTGGTGAATATCTGCATGTTAGCAGCATAATAGCACTTGCCAATACCCTCTTCTCAGTGTTAATCTTTGCTCCTTATTTATTTACTATTGATTAAAGAAAAGAGGATAAGGTTCAGCCAAAATATGCACTTCGTTGACATCTTGCAGCTGCCATTACAGTGGCTCTCAATTGTCAGATAACAGAATCACAGACTGGTTGAGGTAGGAAGGGCACACTGGAAGTCATCTGGTCTAACCACCTTGCTTTCCAGGATGAGATCCTTCATCACTTTCAGGACCCAAAGTGAAACGTACTGGCCTGCAGTTCCCTATGCCCTCCTTCTTGCACTTGGCTAGAGAAGTGACCTTTTCTTTCTGCAGTCTTGCATCACTTCTCCTAGTCACCATGTTTAACTGTTAGGAGTGGCCTTACAGTAGCATCTGACAGCTCACTCAGTGAGCTTGTGCATGTGTCCTGTCAGGGCCCATGGACTTACATCTCTCCAGTTTGCTTAATTATTCCCTGACCTAATCCTTTTCCACCAAGGGTACAATTTCCTTGCTCCTAGCCTCATCCGTTGTTGTCTGGAACCTGACATCCCTGAATCAGATCAGATGTGGTTATGTGAATTCGTTCAGACTGTTGCCATGGCTGAAACTAGCAAGTCTGATGGATAAACATGGAAATGCATTTTAAATGGCAAGCATTTTCTGTGTGAAAACACAACTTGAGTAGGTATCTAAGGACACATTACAACACCTAAGAACAGCAGTTGCAGATTTTCCAGATGGTACCTGTAAATAGGCCAGAATATGTGAAAAAACTACATGGGCCTTTATAGTCAATACTGACAAGATCCATAATATTAGAGACTCTTTTTATGCTGGTCAGTGACCCATGGTAAAAATTTCTGTTTGAGTATTGCAAGAAGATGTGTTTAGCCAGGGTTTTGTACTGATGCAGTTCATTAAAGACATTGTCACACTGGCTAAGATGCCATTAAAACTGTGCTTACTGTTCCACTGAATTTGACGGTGGATAAATCCATCATCCACTCTCACTGCTTAATAACCAGCTGTCATAGTCCTTGTAATGTAACACTTTCATTATATCCAGGAAGAAATAGAACATAGAAAAGGATAGCAAATGATCCTGGGAAGACTTTCTCAGACAGATAAATGCTGCTAAGAATAAAGTAAGTTGCTATTATTAGAACTGTAATGTTAATCAAAAATATGGACACTTATATGCTCTTGAAGCTGGCTTTTTTGTTTTTGTTTTTTTTTTTCTTATTCGTTGTGGGGGTTTGTTTTTTGGTTTTTTGGTGGGGTTTTTTTGGGTTTTTTTTAGTGCAGAAGAGTTAAAAAAAGCCACCCACACAGTTTGCAGGAGCTTGAGAGAAATGTTTCATATTATTTATGCAGCAGACATTTTAAGGAAGCAGATTAAGAGAAGATTGTAAGAAGTTTGCTAGTTTAAAACTTTGAGAAATGGTCACACACTATACCATAAAACTAATGTTGCTTATGTTTTCTATTAGGAACGTCTCCTGATGAGCCTTTTGCCCAGGAATGTTGCAATGGAAATGAAGGAAGACTTCCTGAAGCCTCCAGAAAGGATTTTCCACAAGATTTACATTCAAAGGCATGACAATGTTAGGTAGGATTGATGCAGCCCATGAAATAAACTAAAGAACTAAGATTATTTGGTACAAGAACAGTGATGTATAATTGCACTCAGGTTTCAGAGGAAAAAACCAGGCAATAAAGTGAAGATGTATCTTATATACAGAGTAGAATAATGGGTGCACTAGGAAGATTTAATAATCTTCTCAGGAGATAAGTCTGAATCAATAAATGTTAAATGTCTTAGAATAGTAGTGCTGGGAGACTGACAGCTTTTTCCAAATGACGGGCCATTGGTTTTTTACTGTATTATGTTGTGGGTGAACAGGAGTATTTATTCTGTATGGTAGTTTTTGCACTTTTTTTTATAGTAAGATTAATTACTTCTAAATTAATAGATTTTCCTGGGTAATAGCATGGAAACACCAAAAGAAAGTGTGATGCAAATGTAAAGAAATGTGTATTTGTCCACATCACATGAGCATTACCCCCCAGAGATTATTGACTCAGGCTCAGTTCTACTTCTTGCTCTTGTTCAATAGTTGACTGTGTGTAAGTACTGTCATTTATACTGCTTTTTCTTGAAGTGCATCCTTATTTTTTATTCTTCTTTGCCTCCAGAACAAATTCCTTAAAGAACTTGTCTGTGTTTTATCACACTACTGCCAAGTGCCTTGCTTCCACATCAAATCAGCATCAAAGTTCAGTTGGTGTCATCCTTTTACTAAACAAGGTGCAGTGTTAGTAAGTGATGCCACAGATCTGCCTTGATTTGCATGGTGTACTCATGTAGCAAAGGAGTAAACTTCAGCACTTCCTCCTCTCTCTCCTCCACTGCTAAATTTCTTCTCTCAAGATTTAGTCTACCTCCCATTGAGCTGGCGTTAATATATGCAAGGAACACTTCTGAGTTACTGAGTTGTTGCAACTAAAAGCATTTATGTCACTAAGGGAATCAGAGATGTCCGTGATGGGAGTGTTCAGAAGACTGCCAAATTTGGTCAGTTTTACACTGTAAAATTTAACATTACTGAATTAAAAATTAGTAGTTACTTCATGTTAATGGTTAAATATTGTATAATATTAATCTCATCAGTTGCTTACAAAACTAGATCTTTAACAATCAGTTTAAAATTGTTTCTACATGCACACTGCCCCAAACCTGATGCTGAAAATGATGTTGTTTACAGTATCTGATGGTTCTCAATTGTCAAAGTCTGACTTGAGAGCTCCTGAAGGACACATTCAAAATCTAAGTGAGTTATCTTACTCCTTCACTTTCCCTTGTTTATGTCACATGGTTTTATTCTGTTGCACTCTTCACCAACACCATTTGCACTTTTTTTTCTTTTTCTTGCCAGTCTTCCATCTTTGAATGATAACCTGTCTATTTAAAGTCAGTTTTTCTAATCAATCTCAGGTATGCCAGGTTTTGATGCTTGGGTGTGTTCTACTTTGACCGTTTGGTGATCACATTCCTTAATATACTTATAAAAATTGTGTTTAAAAATTATGTCCTCACAGTGCTATGAAACACATGTTTGCTATTGTTAGTTGCCCTTATATTCAGGGTCAAGGCAAGACTGATAATAATATCATGATTAGTATATTTATATCTTGTATGTGTCATAAGTCTCTGCATTCATTACACTGTTTAGAGTAATCTTAGAAAGCATTGCTTTGCAGTTATTATAAGTGATTCTGAGTCTTCCCTTTTGTTAAGATCTTTTTGAAATGTAACCTCAGGAGTAGTTCTTTTTCCTACATGATGTTTTTTTCATGTAACTGCTAAAACTTTTGTGGCTTATTCACTGCTCTCACGTGGAGTTCATAAAAGTCTTTGAATCAAAACACCCTGTCTGGAGAGGTGAATTCATTCTCTGACATTAAGAAGGCACTTCTGGGGCAAATGAAGCCCAAGTAATATGGGGTCACTTTAGTGTCACAGGTAAGATCCTCAGGGAAGAGAACTGAATATAGCAGACCTCTCTTCACCATATGTACTCACAAGAAACTCTATTGGCTTTTATTTCAGTAATGCAACTACTCTATAATTATAATAATGATTAAAAAGTGGGATGAAACTGTGTCCAATAAATATCCAGCAATCTGTGGCTAGCACATCCCAGTAGGCCAGAGTTTCATCCCGGAAGTTTCGTGACTGTGTAGATCTGAAGGATGAAGGGGAGCTCCCAGCAGGTACCACCCTGACACCAGTGTGAAGAACAGCACTACAACATACCTTTGGCAGGGCTGCTGGTGGTCAGTGCCAATAATAAGTGCTTACTTTACTTTCTTAAGGAGATGAAAACAACTTTTTTTTTTTTTCTTCTGAATAGTGGCAGTTCAGTGCTATAACAAGTAAACCTGAGAGATCATTCCTATGTTCTTGTGAATTGTCCTCTTCATATCAAGTGTTCTGTAACGAGCTGCTATTAAAACAAACCAAAAAAAAGCCCCTCTATAATTCTATATTCCAGGGTTTTTTAGCTCCAAAGCTACACAGGGGAAAATAGAAAATGAGCTGCACTTTTCCTTTTCAATGCTTTCTTTTTCTCCCTACAAATACCTGGTAGTATCAGAGCATTATTCTGCAGAAAAGATAGTCTGAAGGAAACAGGCATGCAATTTGTAGATTACATGTTTTTTGCATTCCTTATCTGTTGAAAAACTAACAGAAAAAAAAAACCTCTTGAGTATCAGAAATCATCTGTTTCAGTCTTCTAAATATCTATTTAGAAGACTGAAACAGATGCTTTCTGATACTTATGACTATTATGCCTGAAAAAAAAGGCAAAGAATATTTAATCTTACATGTGAAAAAAGACATTCATACAGCTACTTTCTTTACCTCCTCCCAGAAAAGCACACTACAGTGGAGATACACATACCTCTGTAAGAAGTCAATAATGGACTGGGGAAAAGTACTGTCATATTTCAGATAACCATGGCAACTGCCCTGGTTTATAAATTAATTGGTGAATATTTTACCAACTACCCAATGACTGTTGAATGACTGTCTGCAACTCACTGTGCTCTGGACGGGAATGTGTCATGCTTTGATCAGCTCTTCCCAGATCTGTAGTACATCTGCTACCTTGTGAAGTTTTTGAACAGTATTGCTGTGCAGTAAGAAATGAGGACACGTGTTTTACATGGAGACCAATAACCTAATGCAAATGCACTATGCAAAACAAGATATGCAAATACACATCCGATATAGCATTAGCCCAGTGAGGACAATAAACTCAACAATCAGAAAACTAAAAATAATTAATAAACTAAATAAATAAACTTAAAATAAACTAAAAAACTAAAATAATTACAAGTCATAAAGTGTCTATGGTTTATCAGTAGGAAATAATCTGTATACAGACCACAAGCTGTTACAGTACACAAGTACAGTACAAGTGTTTTTTTTTTACTGGGGTTGTCCCAGACAAGGAAGGACACCATGAAAGATGTGGGAACCAGATGTAAAGTTACATGTAAGGGCTACCCAACAGACCAGCTCTTCAGTGATGCTCAGAAATATGTTTTGTAACATGGAGATATGCTTTTTGTAAGATTAGGTTAAGAAATTTAAGATTCATATTTTCTTCTTGCCTTATTCATACAGGGCTGAGAAATTTACAGATCACATATGTAGGTACAGTGTCCATTGTAAAAACTCACTAGTCCTGACTGAATCTCTCCATTGACCCATAATTCAATTATGAAAATTTCAAATTGAGTTTCAGCTCAAATATATGCCCTGTGTGGAAACCTTAACATGTTTTGTTGTCTCTTTTGGAATGGATGTTAGATATTCATGAAACTGTTTCAACTCATGGATGAATAAGGATATGGCTGGCTTCCTATATTAACACACAACTTCTTGCTTCATTCTATGACTTAAACAATGTTGAAGAGACAAAAAGAAAGTGAACTTTGAACAGCTAAAAATTTCTTGGGCCTCAGGTACAGCAGTCTCATTTAACCTTTTTTTTACAAGCATGAAATAGAACGGGTGCTTTGTAAGAAGAGATATTGATTTTAGCAAACACACTGCCTGATTTCAAAGCTATTAATAAAAAGATTCCTTGTGGCATTTTAGAGGTTCTTGAGACTAATTCTGAAGCCAGAACACAGCCTGCACATATTTGTGAGCAAATATTTGTGGTCTGTCCTGTCTTTCAAAAAGCATCAGACCTTAAATAATTTTTTAATTTAACTTAAACATTCCAACTTAACCATTTTAAACAGCTGTGATTGTGATGCCTATGGACAGACTTCTGTATCTAGTCTTTCTGAACTTGTAAGACTTCACAGTGAACTAGTTTTTGTAAATTATTATTATGTAAAAAAACACAGCCTCCCTTTGTTTTTATTTTTAACAGCCCTGTTTAATTTTAGAGACCACTTTTTTCTTAAACATTGAAGTGAGTCACACATAAAATTATTAATAAACTTCCCTTATGTTTCACCTTTGAGGCAAAAAGAGTCCTACAGTTTACCTTCTGAGGCACCATGTGCCATTAAAATACCATTTTTACTGTAAGTTGTACTTTAATTAAACAAATGGCCCAAATGAAAATAAAAAAACAGGGCATACAACCCCTCCTTATTTTGTAAAGTACTTGTTTATACAAGTGGCTCCATTGAAAACAGCAGGACTATTCAAGTGCACAAAGCACATGAATGAATACTGTTAAAACTGAACATTTACTACTTACAAGCTGTCAAATCTCTTGTGTAAGTTGGCAGGACTTCTCCTTCTGAATGCCCCATGGAGTGACATACAAAAGAGTTGCTCTGTCAATAGTTACACTTGGGAAGCAGCTTAAATCTTTTAAACCAAGCCGCAGGCTTTCTGCACTCAGTTCTAGCAGGTGCAGCTGCTTCCTGCTGTAGTACAGGAGGGCTGCAGTCACTGTTCAGGTGCTGTCTATGCCTGCCTGAAGGGATCATGGGGGAGAAAATAGGAATACAGAAGGGATTCAGAGTGATAACTCTGGTCTTGTTAACACAGCAATGTTTCATATTGTCAAGGAG